TTCTTTCTTTTAAGAAAGTGCTCAGCTTGTTCACCCCGAGATTTTAACTCCTTCCAAGTTGTGGATGGCACGACCCCCAGAGCTTCCAGGACATCGATGGAGAGGTTATTGTGACATGTTTGCAGGATGAACTCCTCTGTAATAGGATCTCTGCAATTTATTGCTTTGCCACGGAAGCGTTTGACAAAATCGTCGACTGACTCTCCGTCTTTTTGCTTCTCATCCAAAAGAGTTCCGATTGACACTTCGGTGTCATCATCGAAGAAGTTGCTGAGGAACAAACTTTCCATGTCATCCCAGCAATTGATGCTCCCTGGCTTGAACCATCGGTACCAATCGAAGGCAGGCCCACGAAGGGTGCCAACGAACGACCGGATCATTAAGGCCTCGTTTCCAGAGATTATGCCCAAATGAGACTTGAAATAAATCAAGTGTTGAATCGGCGAACTCTTCCCTTCAAACGGTGTGAAGTTAATCAGATTGAATTTGGTCGGGTATGGTATTGAATCCCATTCCCTCGGATAAGGACATGGAATACCCGTCTTCTTAACTTCTTGAGCCGTCATCAAAGCATTGATTTTGTCTTCAAGTTTTTGCATTTTCCCGTCATCGTCTTCATTTCTTTCTGAATGATGTCGAGTAAAGATAATTGGACCCCCCCCAGTGAGAGGTGCTATTGAACCACCCCCAATATCGTTATTGGGAGGATCCGTTAAACCACCCCCAGCGTTATTGCCATTGGGAGGTGTATCAGCCATAATGACTTCATCCACCTCTGGATCACTGTCCTCTACAACATTCCGAGTGTGGTGGCTGGATTCAAGTCGCTGATTGGACTCAGGAGGTTGAGGCTGTTGAGTTAACAGTTCTCTCATTTGTTGGATAGCCAACTTCATTTCTGTCTTCACTTCAGCTCTAATTTCTTCACGTTGTTTGGCTAGAGCTTCCTGAAGTATTTGAGTGAACTGATCAGCAGTGATTGTGAATACTTCTCTGATTTGTCCTGTGCTAGACATTGTATCATCAGAAGCGATTGCAGAATAAGTGTCCGAGAATTCATCCTCCGAGGACATTCCTTCTTGCATTCTCTTGTAGTCTCTGCGTCTGATAGCTCCTAATTGGAGTCGAGACATCCTTTGAGCAATTCTTGGATTGACTTTTCCTTTCGGGGAAAAGTCGGGATTTGAGTCACTTGAATGCTGTTTAGACTTTCTTCTATCAGCCACGTTGATGGTGACTTCAGGGAATTCATCATTTTGGACAGCTGCTCTTCTTTTGCGGAAATGTCTCGGCTTAGGTTTCGATAATACAGAGACTTTTCGTGGGATGACTTCTCGTTTGAAACAGTCACATTCTGATAATGCTGTTTTAACGAGTCGCGCACAGGAACAACGAGAGTTTATCTCTCGAATAACTCTCTTTCGAAAATTATTCACAACTTCAACTTGATAATACGATTCATCGGTATGATTGCCAAAAAATCGTATCGTCTGTTGGTATGATCTCCCAGGTATGACGATATCATTTGGTGAATGCGTCTTCTTCTGGGGGTATAAAACCTTGTTGGCATTCTCAGGACAATTTATTTTTGTCTTTAAGCGATCCAAGGTTATGTCGGGAGTCGCACGTTTAGAACCACCCCCTTGTGGGTATGGAGTCTTAACGGGCTCCGAATGCTGATTTTGCATAAGTCCAGACTTTGGAATCCAAACTTGACGAAGTTTTGGTGATTCTTTGGTCACCATTTCCTTTCTCTTTTCTCGTCTTTGTTGTGAGAGAGCATGGGCATTAGCAGCTTTTGCACGACGTTTTTGTATACGTTCTTTGAGGGTCGAACGAGTCTTTTTGACAATAGTCCATTCATCCGTCGTTGTTTTAGCAGAGATACGAGTGATTGGTTGTTGAGACAACTGAACCACTCGATGTCTCCTCGACTCTAGGTCCGCGTGGTAACGAACCCCGTCGGTTTGTTCCAAGGCTTTAGCCATTTGGCGAGCACAGCGTTGGCGTTGTCTCTGACGAGCTCTTTTCGTCAATGCCGGCGGGCTTTGATTCGATGACTCTTTAACTAGATAAGAGCCATTGTGAGCAGAAGTATTGCGAGTGAAATTCTCAGCAACAATCAAGCGAGAGTCTTCATTTTGTGCCTTCTTTGGCATGCAACTCTTCCTCAATTGTGAGATCCTCTTGTACTTGCGAGATACTGAAGATCTTGAAGAGGATGATGAGAAATATTCCTCAAACTTGGTTTGGTCGAATTCGTATTCGACCATGGATTCAACTGGAATCTTGATCGGCTGCGACACGACGGTCTCGGCAGCGAGACCGTTGGCTCCCACTGTGGTCGCCAGCTTGTTTGGGTCAAAAGTTGGTTTTGTCATGGAATTCATTATATCTTCGGTCGATTACAATAAATTCAAAGAAAACAGCCTTTTTATAAGACTCTTTTACACAACAAAAAGAAAATTACAACTCTTGAGAAAATAAACGCAGGATCGTTGTTTGGATCACTGCTTTCGTGGGATCTTTGCCTGTGCCGGGAGCGCTTTGACTCGTGGACCACCAAATCACAGATTCTGATTGAACCGTGAGGGGTTTAATGATTCTTCCTTCGTTTATCGAAGTAAGAATTTGAAGCGAATATCTTATCGATGTAAGATGTTCACTCTTCCAAAGATCAAGTCTGAGCTTAGATCTCTAGGACTCGCTAGAAGCTTCTTGAGGATGTTTGTGAAGAAGGAAGACTCTCTCTCTTGCTCTAATTCACCAAAACTCAAGGCTCTCTGCTCTAATCTCTCTGGAAAATGCTCAGCCCCTGTCAATGATGGCTATAGGGGGGTATTTATAGCCTCCTTAGACGATAACTGAAGAAATAGCTGGTCAATAACTGTCTCTTTAGGCGCGGCAGCTGATGCTGTCGCGGCTAAAGGGCGCGACAGTCGACACTGTCGCGGCCAAAGAGCGCGGCAGTCGACACTGCCGCGGCTAAAGGGGCAGTTACACCCACGTTCATACGTGTTTGAAACAGTTCTCCCACGACCTTTAACCACCTTTTTCGTGGTTTAACTGCTTTTCCACATCAGCACACGTTCTATTTCTGATACTCCGCCACGTGGACTTTAAATAATCATCAGATAACTGTATTATAACTGCTGTAGCATCCTGCTTTAACTGCCGCGGCACCATAGGTTGCAGCGGTTAAGCCGCGACACCATAGGCTGCCGCGCCTTAGCCGCGGCACCTTGGTCTGCCGCGCCTTAGCCGCG